TTCTACTTATTAGGAATTGAATGTACACTCGTCTGTGATGGTCGTCTCCCCTAGGAAAGTAGGAATTACCTATGCCTGGAATTTCCCTATATGAGGCACGGAGTACAGGGGAAGGTTCTAAGCCTGTCAGATCTGGGAAGAACGAACCGCATTTACGTCATTCTGTAATTCCGTTCGGAACGCCTTCTTGGGGAAGCTCCGTTATTTTTTGCCATTTTTTGTCATCGATTAATAATTTTGCATCATTATTCTTTCATGATCTCCGTGATTCCATGAATTCCGTGTCATCTCAGTCATTTTCGATCTTGCTCCTCTACGGAGACATTAGCTGACAATTCTTGCGGTCTTAGGTCGCCAGACGTCGGCGCCAGAGGTGCTCTAGAGGTTTGTTATGATTCCATCCGAGTCTCAAACTGAAGCTGACCTACGAATACAGGATGTGAATCTGGTAAAAACCGGAGTGTCTGATGTTCGAACTGAGACCCTCATGGACTCTTCCGGGTTGTCTCAAGAAGGTCGAAAAATCTTTCAGGGTGTTGTTTGCCTGGTATCCTGAAGTGCTTCATTAGCTATACCGCCCATTAGCGGACGGCGCTCGCTGGGACGTTATTCGCGACGTGCGACGAACAGGAAAACCTCTATAGCTCTGAAAACTGATGCTCAACGAGCAACTAGATACTTGCTTGACAGGATACGGCACTCGCGAGCGCGTTTGGCAGACGATGAGGATCGTCGAAACGCGAGACTGGAAGCTGACCGTGTGCTTCATCTGAAGAGCCGATGAAACGAATGAGCGAAGAGCTGCACGCTTGAAAGGGATTCGATTCCAAACTCTCCAAATGCATTCGGAGGAAACTGAGGACGAACGGGTGGAAAGATGGTTGGCAAATGGAGCCCGGCGTGTTCAGGTCAGGCGGAGGATACATGGCGATTTGAACCTCACAGCTTCTGGGTATGACCCTGCTACAGATTACAGCACGCACCCTGGTGTGAATCTTGGGAGAATTGATCAGGTATGTGATTACTGTCGAGCACTCAAATTCGCAGAAGAGACCCCAGGTACCTATGTGCTGTGAAGGCGGAAAGTCTAGTTGCAAAAATTGTTCCTGCCGCCTGAGCCCTTAGCGGCATTGATGTCTGGGAGTACAAATTATTCCAGACATTTTTGGACGAACATTCGACAGCCGAAAGTATAACTCCTGCTTCCAAATGACATCATTCGGAGCGACGGAAATCATTCGAGAGAATTATGCTTCTCTTCTTATCCATTTGCGCCTGCAGCGGAATCCGAGAAAAGAATCGGTATAACGGGGATCAATCAACGTGCTCCAGTCCCAGCGCGAGGCAAGGGTTCATTCCGGGCGTTGCCAGCTCTGAGAGAACCGCGGACGACAGTAGAGGCGTCCGGGGGAAGGCGGAAGAGATCACCGGCTACGTGTCCTGTCGGGGATTCTCGCGAGATACCACGGCGCTCTCGGCTCCCATTCGCCGTGTTGTTCAAGAGCAAGAGAGCTGCTGTCGAATCCGTCAATATCCTCGCCGGAGATGACTCCACCCATGTAGTTGATACCGGTGAAGTTTGGATCCGCTCACAGTCAGTCAGCCGGTCCAGCAGCCGGTCAGGGAGGCAAGCAGATGCTTTCTGACTGACTACTGCAGGCTCATAACATCATCCGACTCCCGAATCTTTTCGAAATGATTCATTGTTTCTCGTGCGAAACAAGCTATTGTTAGCATCGAAGCCCGATTACATGACTTCCATTCGCATTATCTGGAATCGGACGTCGCAAACAACTCTATCCGAAGAAGCTTTCACGTACGTCGATCCGAAGGGGGAGGGAGCAAGGATTATCTGTGATCGGATCCTTTAGGGTCAGAGCCTCGAACTAGGTCAGAATCCTCGACCCGCGACATAAAAACTGTCAAATACGGTTTCATGACTCATTTCGTAAGCCCAACTTGATGCGGCCGACCCCCTAACAGCCTTCGTAGATACCTAACCCGGAGAGGTGTAAGATACCCCCAAGCCATATAGCAGCCAAGGGACTGGAGCGAGGTCAGCCTATCGTAAAACACGATTCTCCCCGGCGCGGCGGACTCCTAAGCCGAGTACGGCAAGTCGCAATGGCAGTGGATTCGACTCGCCCCTCAATCCATAGGTCCTATATCTGGCCCAGCCATTTTCGAGCATGGAAATTGAAAGATTAAGAATACCCGATCGAGAAGATGGTTTGCTATGTTCAATCAGGACAATACTTCAATCTCGGGGTTGCAGCATGGGAATGTCACGAGAGCTCCTTCCGATGTTTCCGTGAATGTTTTTCTCGGAAGACTATAATAATTCGACGACTACCAATACTATAATTGCGGGGAGTTCAAAATCAAGGGAGGAAATGATCGGTGAATACACAGCCTGGCCGCGTCGGCGTCGTGCACCACCCATATCTGATGATAGTTTTCGCATCGAGCACAAATACCCCGTTGGAAAATTGCAGGACACTCAAGTACACCGTGCAGCTCGGTGGAAGAGTACTTATTGCGCTGCTCGGACGTGGCATCATCCGTTGCATGCTGCCCTCATGTATGTGAGCTGGTATATACCAGCTACATATTCGGCGATTTTACTCAGAGTCACGCATCATTCGACGCTTTCGAAGACAGCGGGAATTTTCTCGACGTGAACTGTGAGCATTCCGCGCTGGTGGCTCGCTCAAGATCGTCCGAAAACGTCTCTAGGTTCGGGAGCGAGTCGCAACAGGTGAGTCGAGCGATGACTTGACGCCACAATGATTTCAGTCTGTCGACAGCGATCATTTCGCTACGATGGCAAAGTGGCCCCAGCCGAGGTTCTGGGTTATGGCTATTCGGTTTTCTGCCTTCTCGAATCGCTTCAGGGATGAGAAGAGTTCGATGGGGAAATCAAAGTCGTCAACAAGTCAATCTCTGTTGCTCTCAAAAGAAACTCAGATCGCTGTCTGATCATCTCTCTGACGCTGATCTCACATTAATCGGTGTTCGTGCTTCTCTGATAATTCTCAATGCCTCGGTTGAGCATGCTGCCTTCCGTCAGTTTTACCGTCAGCGTCGCTTGAATATTGGTCAAGACAAGACTCGAGACGAGCTGAAACCTCTGGTGATTCAAGCGCAACAACGATCCGACTGACCCGTTGCTCGGTTTCTCCGTTACGATCGTGTCGATAGTTTTTCCCGTCCGCATGAACTCATGGCCGGGGTCGGAACCCGACCCCCGGTAGCTTACTTAGCATACTATGTTTTAAACTATTCGGGGCGTTGCGGTTTGTTTCTTCTCGCGATTCGAGATAGTGTTACGGATTCTATATGGTCAGCTCGGTCAGACGAGTTAGCGTACCGCCGGCCGGAACCTCCCACACAACGACATTCAGCACAGAGCTGTAAATACGGTTCTTCCCCTCGGAAACCGCCGATCACAGAGCGGGTCAGCGTCATTGATTCCGGGGAAAAGCTTCCCGGCTCACAATAAATTCAGAGATCATCCCGGCTTTTGAGACGGCAATCCTCGGAATAATCTCGGGATATCGATTTCGAGACTCGACGCGTGGGACCTACGCTCCGTATACGTCGCCATTCGTTGCAGCGAAAGCTGGTGCTCGCATTGGATTCCGCTGCACAAAAGCCGCCAGGAATTCCGACTCCGCATGCGCCCTATGTCCCGTTCAGAATCGGGAAAGTTCGTCAGCGTCGTCACCGTCACCACAGCCGGCAATAGGAATATCAACGCCGGGCGACGACTCCGCGCCCGGAACATAAGACAAGCCGCTCCGGACAGCCAAGACGGCAGTTCGAACCAAAACTCTGTTGCCCTAGAGCAATCGCAGAAGCCGGCTCAGGTATTCTGCCGGCGCCATCATATAATGCATGGCTCACGACGGGTAATTGTGTGTCATGAGATTTTCATTCGGTTCATTCCAGCAATCCAACTCCCCAACGTTGTTCCGATATTTTTTCTTCGAGCGGAGCGCCCCACGACACCGCTTCCAGCGGCGTAAATGTTTTCAAAACTCCGAGCTGCCAGGAAATTCGAAGGATGAGATGAGTTACCGAATACCACTGTGACAACATGAAGTATTCCTCGTTCTGCGAAACGACAGTGGAGGGAGCTCCGTGGAATGGAAAGTGTGCCGCAACAAGCAATGGTACACACGAGTCGTCGACATCGACTGCAATTCCGTACGGAAGAATTTTTTCCCGTTGGAAAGGCTTACTCAGCAAATCCGGCCGCCCGAATGATCACTCGATCCCCTCGAGGCGCACTCCGAAAGGAATGCAAATATTCAGGGGGATCCGATATGCTCCAGCCCACAACGTATGATATGAGGTCTAGATCGACCTCACCAAAAATTTTTGGCTTGCGGACGAAATACACGGAAACTTGAAACACTCGTAAACTGGAAGTCGGCCCCAAGAAATTCCACCAACCTGATGCTGCTGTCTTGTTCAGCGGCGGCGGCGGCGGCAGCAGCGGCGGCGGCACCACCGAGTTCAGAACTGAGCGAAAACAGAAGCAGAAAGTTCGCGTCGTTTTGGGAGGGCCCAATATCCACCGGTTTAACCCTCGAAGCCTGTCGTATCCAAAACTAGTTAATTGTTCACTGTCAACACTGTTGTCACTTAACTCGGACAACCTTTTGCGTTGGCTATCCCGTAGTCGAAGTCCGAACTGAAGATCTGGCTTTGTGGTCGGCCACCCTCTCCCAGGCGTCTTCTCCTCGCTCGCCGAAACTGTTCTCCTCCCCACCCAGCGGAACGCGCCTCTGATTCGAAATTCCCGCCATGAACGCATTGTCAGCCTGCGGCCGCGGCTACCGTCTCCAAAACAAACATCCTGGCAGACAGTCAGACAGGACCCGCTTTCTCTCGAACCGATAGAAGAAAAAAGGGGGAGGAGGATGAGGAGAGCGGTGCTCACGGTGTTTACCTCTCGTTCGGAGCCTTTTTTTCAGTCCGAGAAATGATTCTGTGAAGCGCGATCTTTCAAGAGGACCGCCTTTCAGAAGATTGGACAGCTGCTCAGCTGGCGTCTCGAATCCCCGCGACAAAAGAACTCACCGACTATGGCAACACTATCACCGAACAAGATGGTGAACATACCGAAAATCGTGCTCAAATCCCAGACGCGACTCACTCTGAACGAAAGGTTTGAACTCTTCACTCTTATCCTCATAAGTCATGGAGGTATCCTCTGTCATACGGAAAGTTCCACGCTTGGCGATCGTCCTGTCCGGAGAATCAGAGGGAGGCAACGCGGGAACGCTTGACCCAGGGAATCGTCCCGGTGCCCAAAGCGTCAGATTGGAGTTCTCCCGTGATCCTTTCGACAATTTCAATTGTCGAATTTCGCGCTCGATTTCCGCGCTCGAGCTCGAAAGTGATTCAAAGGGAATCGTGATCGCTTTGGGGGGTTCTTCTCTCCGTTGGTGGAGCTTACCATGCTCTCGACGAAACGGCGCAGCTCAGTAGATTCACATTTGTTTCATTTGTAGATTCACCCAGTTCGCGGAGCAGCAAGAAGCTCGGCTTCAAATGCTGAAGAATGACCTCCGGACGCGATTGGTCGAAGAGTCTTATGAGAATGGTTCGTAATTATTGTGGTCGAATAGATGTGTAGAGGAAATTCACGACATCGGCCAGACATAATGTGAAGTCTACATAGTTAGGAAGCCTCTAACTTACGAAACATCTGACAACTCACAAGTCAGGGGGGCTTCGCCAGGCTCTGGCTTATTATGATTCCGTCTGATTACTTGGGGAAGCTCCGATGACTTGCAACGTCAGGCGATTTCGACGCCGCGTTTCAAAAAGTCATGCTTAAACCGAGCTCTCCCCGTAGTTTATGGCTTAGAGAATTCATAAAGACTCAGCTCCTGGAAAGTCCGAATTAGGGACCTTGACCGTGTTGGCGAAGAGCGAGATGATCGGAATCCGTCCGAAGACATCCAATGCATAAATGATCCAATTCCTGGAATTCCTTTTGAAAAGAGTTCGATCCGGGAAGAGCGAGATCCCTTTCCATCCTTTTGCGACTTTCGGCAGCATTCTCTGTGTTTTTCATGTGAGAGGCGGGATTCCGCACCAATAGACTCTAGAGCAGGGGTGTCAGCGAGGGGTTTTCTCGTGGCCCGCGGCCGATCCTCAAAAATTCCATAGGATCATATCCTTGTAAATTTCGAATCACGAATAGAACGAGTCGACTCTGAAAAATCGAGAATCAATTGTGACTCATCATGCACATTCATATGTGTTTCCCTCCAGCTTTCCGATCTCTCCGCCCAAACAACGTGAATTAAGAATAATGTCGAAAAAATCTCTGGATGTGGCCCGCCGAAGATTTGACTTTGACACCCCTGCTCTAGAGCTTTCCAGGATCGATTGATCGACTCTGATAATTTTCATTTAGGTTCTCACGACAGTGCGGAACTTTCGGAAAAGCTGGACGAGCTGACGCGCGACATCGACAATCCGGAGAGGCGAGCGACCCTTCTCTCCAAGAAAAAACATCGACCGAAGGAAAACCGCCGTGCTCATGATCCCCAGTGAGTTATCTCGATAGACAGCGCCTCGAATGGGTGCTATGGATTGCATGGAAATTGCGCAACAGAGTCTCAGAAAGCGAAAACATACGAAAACAAATACACCCGTCCACGTACTAAGCCTGATTCGCCTCGTGTCCGAAAGGAATGATATGTAGCATCGGGTTGTGGAGGATTTCCTAAGAAAGCCTGATGGCGAGGAATTGAGCTTGGTCTGAGGAATGTGAACATATGCTTGCAGACCGCAGAGGGAAGTTACGGATATCATTCGAACTCCGATTGATGTTCTTGCTGCGATGCAGTGATTTCGCGCGTTTTTCGAGCATGAGCTTCTACGCTAGCTCCGCGCTGAGAGGCATCATATGATGCCTCCCAAAACCCCCCCTCGACATTCCGGGAAGCAGCCAATCGTCCGACCTGTGATGGAATCACTAGGCAAGCTCTAAGTTATACATTGGCATTTACCCTTGTAGAGGAGCTCGGGAAGAGCCGATCGTTCCTGCATACCGTTCGCTACTATATGACAGTGGAGAGCGAAACGATCGAGTCAGGAAACAGAGGCGTAAGGACTCGCGACTTGTCACATACGGGGACGTTCTCAGTGGGTATGTCTCTGAGTGAGAGCCAGGACCATAGGTCACGAAAGAAACGAACGCGGTGGTCCTAGCACCGCGTAGTACACCCAGTGGGCGAGATACTCCGTCAGAGTCTAAGGTTTTTGCTCCTCCGCAGCGACAACGGAGAAGGAGAGGTTTCGCATTGGCGAGCGGAAGCTCTCAGAGGAGTCAAGCCTGCACATTTTCCCTATCAGACCAAGCAGAAATACGTCAACCCTTTGATGCGTGACTCGGACGATGAGACCACTGGAGGCGAAGGGGGGGCTAGCGGCGCTCCAGTCCATTCTCGGCTCGGTGTGAAACAATCTGGACGACTGAAGGGTGGTGTTCACAAGAACCGACCGATTGCAGCAAGCTCTCGACGCGGAGGTGAGTCTCTTCTTCCATTCGAGCTTGGCTCCCGTGATTCGGTCGGGGATGTGAGGCATGCGCATCCATCGGAACATACATCCGGAGAAAACACCGTTTTCTGCTCCTCTTCGAAGAATCCAGGTGCTTAAGATTCCCCCTCTCGTGTACCCAACAGGTGAAAAGCTGAGCAAGCATGTTGGGGGGTCTTCAGCGACCCGACATGCGGTTACCAAAGAAGATCTGGATCGAGAACTCGATGAATACCGGCAGAGGGGCAGCGTGATGGATGTTGAAATGGGGGAAGACTGACTCGTCCCTGTCTCAGGCGGATATATTGTGAACGCTGCGAGCTACGATTAATTCTGAGAGATTGGTGTAAGCGACGTTTTCAAACTCTGTAGATTTTGTACGTGGTGTATTTGTGTTCAAGTCGAATTCGTTTGATTTGAAGTCCTTCTGTGTGGACCTAGACTCACTGAGTAAGCGACAGTCGACCATCGAAATGTATAAATATCGCGTAAAATGGAGAAGCCACGATTTTTTTCATTACCACCTCCCATGAGCTGGGTAGCTGAGAAGGGACTCGAGAGAGCCCAAGTGTAGCTCTCTCACTGAGACCAGTTGTTCGAGCGGGTCAGATAAACGCCGCGAGCTATTGAGGGTTTTATCGAGTTACTTAAATCAGGTAATCACAATGAGCTCCACAGACAATCGATCATTGGATTCTTCTCCGGAATCATGGATTGCAGCTTCTCTGATCGAGGGTCCCTCGGAGAAAATGCTCCCTTCCCCTATTTTCAGAGGTATATTCCCAAACTACCTGGTAGCTGGGATTTATACCGGTGCACAAGTTTTTTTTTTAATTGAAATAATAATTTATTAGATAATGCTCTGATGAGTTTTGTATCCTCATGCTAGAATGTGGGCTTCAGGATAGCCGACGATTAGCCGAATGAGTCGAGCTGTCTGCAGATCCCATAGAAATCTGCGTTGATCGACGGAGCGCGGTATCATGAAGGCGGTCTCTGCTTCAATTCAGGCAGCCAGTCTTTTTTTTTCGGGAGCTAGGGTGGTGTCGATAAATTCTTTCCGGACGAACGTTGTGGAAGATTCCAAGGCTATGGTCGATCGAGCTGCGCTGCCTCAACCCCGCGGAGGGATCTGAGTGACCCGAGGAGAGGCATCGATCCTGGATCCCCCTTTCGACGCTCAGAATGAACCCTCTTGTAAGACTCCGCAGTCTCAACGCGGATTTCGGAGCTGCCCCTAGGAATAGCCCTCTGAAGTGCCGGAGCAATTCTTGGACGAGAGCGCTCACCGAGGGGGGAAGCAACTTGGATTTTTTCCTGGCGCAGAGGACTCGAAAAGCCCTGACACAATCCCCCTGCATTATATTCCGAAACAGAGACGTCGGATCCGGATCCTCGCGAACGCTTTCGCACTCTACATCATTGCCTACGCCGGGAATACCATAATTCGCCGATCCGAGGCCATTCCCGCTATGCGGTACTTATTCAGAGTACCTACTCTGAATATCGATCCCTCAGCTGTAGGAAACCAGGGAATCAAGGGACGATGTAGCCGTACGTCTTCTGCTCGGACGGAAGACGCACTGTCCCGCTAGCGAAAGGAATGGAGAAATTAGCAGGATCCGATCGTCGACGGGATGACTCGCCCGACGCGGAGGAGGAATTCGCTGAGCACGACGATCGGACCGGGTGATCGCCGCCCCTCCCGAAACAGCCCTTCTAACGAGCGCGTCATTTATCCCTAATAATGCCGTCCTCCGTATCTTCTTCCCGGGAATCAGAAGGGAATGAGGTCCCGCTGAATTCCTGATGTGAGTATTGATCGCCGCCAGAGTCACCATTGTCCCTCCGTTGTTCAGCTCCTGTCGCTCGATATCATTACGCGAGCACAAATGGACGGGACTATTTCGTCGCAGCCTTAGATGACACGATCGTACTTCCCCTACGGGCCGGAACCATCCGTTCTCGGCGCTGAGGGGGAGCCGGTCTGGCTCGTTCCCCTCGTTCCAAATTAGTCTCCGTCGCCGGACTCTTGCCACCTCACTCGGTGAGCCGGCGAGATCACAATCTCTCCTCGGAATGCTTCAAAAATACGAAGCCATCAAATGCAGTTGTCGCGCCGACGGTAGCGGCATCGATATCTTTCGCTGCAATGAAGATTTCTCCTGCGGCCCACGGTTGTGAGAAAGGGTCTCTCTCACATTTAGTCGTGGCATTGGTGCTGCTGTCGATGCCACTGTCTACAATAGGTGGGCAGTGAAGCGAAAGCAAGGAGTCTCGAGCGAGGTTTCAGCCGCCGCGGCTACTGCCGAAAGAGCGAAGGAAGCATGGAGGGACCAGCCGAGGGAGAGAGGGAATTCACGAGGAAGGGAGGGAGGGAGGAAGGCAACGAAGAACCGATACGCTGAGGAAAGGACACTTCGTGGTTCAGCTGGCTTGTGTGGAGGAGGGTTCGTGTGCGTGCAAGCAAGTAAGCAACTAGCCAGGCCGCCAGCCAGCTTGTGGTGTTGGTGGTGGGCAGCAGCAGCAGCCGCCGCAGTAGCAGCAGCAGGCATTCGATGCAGACGAGCCCAAGCCACAGCTCGAACCGAAAGCCCCGCGGCGAGGGCCCAACTCGTTCATAAGCCGGACAACTCGACGACCAGTTTCAAAAGAAGGAGACGGAAGGAAAACTACCGCCGCTCGACGAATTCACCCCGAATCCACGACAACAGCTATTTTTCACATGATCATCTCCAACAACATCAACTTCCTTCAACTCCGCTACCGTCGACAAGGATTACCGCATTTTGGATTTGGACTGACCATCTGACTTGAGCAACCAACCAACAAACCAAGCGACCGACCGACCGAACTACCTACCCACCTACCGATAAACTACCACAATCACCGATCGATGCCTACCCGTTCGCACGATCGACCGACTGACCGAATAACTGACCGACTGCTTGACAGTCGACTGACTGACTGACTGATTGATTGACCGCTGACTGGGAAGCTCCTCGTGAGTGAGGCCGATCCAGTCTACGAAAGCGACTGCCCGACACCCCTTTGCCGACTGACTGACTGACTGTCCAAGCAACCGACTGACTGCCGACCGACCGACTGAGTGACTGTCGGTCCCATCCTTCGTTCGTTGGTTCGTCGATTGGTGAGCAAGTCGTTTGTGCGTGAGTTCTGCGTGCTAGCCTCCCCCTTCCCATCTTTGGACTCGTCCGGCTGTCCGATTATTTCCCGGCCGAATCGGCGTCGAGTGTTCTAATCTTCACTTGTGTCAAATCGCCTCGCTCTCGGAGCTCGGAAGGAAATTCGAGTCCCGTTTCTCCTCCGTTCCTTGGGAAATTTCTTTGGTGTGCCCCCGTACCATTTCACCTGCCCTCTGTGTTCGTCTTCGACCTCTTTTCTACAGACGCCCTGCACAAAGCCATCTGCGAAACTGCCTGCAGGTGCGCTCCGCGCACGTATAGGATTATATCGTCTCATCATAAACGGCAGCACTGACGACTACGACGACAAAAACCACGATAGTAGGAAACTTACTTAGCGCCGCAGGGCATCGCTGAAGTATCCCAAGAACTCCGGCATCGATCCGGCTTCGTGGTTGCGGCCCTCGGCCCGGCTGATCGGTTGTCATCAGCGTGGCAAAAGCAACCAAACAACCAAAACAAACGAGCTCGACTATCCAGCCAGTCCGCCGGCAGCAGAAGCTTCCTCGGCATCTGCAGTCGAGATTCGATCCAGTCCCAGACTCTACGCTGACCTGGATGACTGGCTTGTGTCTGTCTGTTCGATGAGTGATTGGAATTCCCCCACTTGGTAACACGACGAAAAACTACGACTGGCGGCGGAGATATTCCGACGTCCTAAAGCGACTTCAACGTCAACAATCTCAAGAACAGGTACAAGAATAACCACTCCTAAACGAAAACAACTCGTGTCTCCCGATCGCTGCGAAAATCAGCGCGAGTCACTGCACTTCGACGCTAAGGGTTTGTGCCCTCCGTTCTGCAAAACCTTCGAAGCTGACCGGGCGGAAAACGCGTCAAGAAGGGAATAGTAGTGAACGATATCCGAACCCTCACCCCTGAGCAACGCTGAAAACGGAGAACTACGACGTCGCGGCCCATCTTTGAATTCTTCGAAGTGGGTTCGCCAGTATCTCCTGAGGGAGATAACTGATCGGCGGAAGGAAAAAATCAAGCAAAGACTCCATCGAATCATCCACAGAGCTGACCCTCGGATGAGCTCATTGGATCACTACAACCAATGATCGACGACGAGTTCCGCTGTTTGAGTTCTCTCCGCGATAAGAAAACTGATTCGAGATCACGGACAGAGTTCTGCACGTTGCGCTGAGGAAAATAGCAAACGGATCAACGACCGGTCGGCGTTCATAGTCATCGATAATCAATTGCGGGTTGTTTAACATTGAAGCGAATCGATACGTTGAGGAACCCGTCGGTCCCTCAAGTTGAAGTGTATAATTCGAACATTATCGTGGAATTCGCAGAACCCTCCATCCACCATTCTCGCTCTCCACAATCAACCCTTCATATGCAAGAGCATTTCTTGCGACGCCTACAGTAAGTCTGAATTCCCTCCTAATTTCCTCAATTAGTTCGGTTCAGAGCGACCGTGCCGTCTCTTTGTCAGATTCATTCCCGCTCCGTTTTCCAAAACAAAGGCCCGAATCTGACGGGCCGAACGCAAGGCTCGTTTGCGTCACACTCCGAGGAGCGGCAAGCGGGGTGGGGGCACAGTTATTCAGGCGAGGACCATCAAATGATAATGGATGGTTGTAATTTCCTTCGTCTCTCTTTGTTTTTGTCGATCAGCCACTCAGCTATTTTCGTTTTGAGCGATATTTGCTACACCGATGTACTGCTGCTCCCTCTGGTCGATGCCGTCGCGTCGGATCGAAGAGTCGGGATCGGGACCTTGTACCCCTTCCGAATTATCTTCCGATGGAACACCGGGTCAGTAAGGGAGGGTTCCGGCGGCACAGCAAACTGGAATCAGATTGTAAGGACTTAAGTCAGCTAGAGTAAAAATACGAATGACTCAACATCGAGAAGGCAGCGGTGTGAAGTGCGTTTCACCGCCGCGCCGCTGAGTCTGAGAGCTCGTCTGGCAGACCTCGAATGATCTCGGGGCTTCTACGTTTCACGGACGCGGTTTCATTCGAGATAGAGAGACGACCGCTGAGCAGGTGATTTATCTGACTGAGCGATTTAGCGGCTGAGATTTAGATGCCATCCTCTGCATAGGGAATTCTCCCTTGCCTTCGATCGAAACATTGCCGAGTTCGTCCCTGTTCCTTTTCGCGACACAGCGTTGAAATGCAAATCCGATGCGCGTCAAGGGAGCGCTCAGACGTGGCAGAGCCCGTGAACACCCATGTGCCTACGTATATATCCGCACCGCTGCTGTCATCTGGCGACTGTTGTGTATAGAGCCCGAGTGAAAGACTGACTGACGCACGGTC